CCCCAAAACCCCAAAACCCCAAAACCCCTGTCAAATAATTCCATATTGGTTATATCAATTAAATATATCATCATGAGATGTGGGTTCTTACTCTGATATGTTTATAGCTAACTCCAGTAATGATAGGGATAAAAGAGACTCTGATATAGTAAGCAACTACACCTTGAGACCAGTCATGGTCTTTCTCTATTAGCTGTTTCAACAGGGTTTTGAAATTTAAACATGAGTAATATTTGCTCATAGGTCTCCATTAACAACTCTAGTGGGCAGAACGTATTGAGACGTAGGAAAGCAACTGAGATACATAGAGAGTTATAAATTCACCATCTTGACACAAGGAATCTTCATTCACACACCACGATGATGAGTTTGAGTGCCTCAACACTGATAGAAAGGAGCAAGGATGGTTTGAACTTGGCATTCAGAATAAAACAAGTGAAGAAATAGAACAAAAACTTTATTTTGTGCTCGACCGAGTTGAAACTTACATACATTCTTTAATCGAAGGAGTTAAAATACTGAGTCTTAAGGTGTGATGTCAAGAGAGTTTAACACAATGCTAACAAAAGCTAAGAATATGACCTCTAACTTTTACCATACGGTGACAAAATATATTGAGGAGGTCCAGGAGAGTGTTAATGATAGATATCAAAGTATGAGAATGGTGACTCTTCAATCAATTAGTAACAAATTATCAGTCTTGTTTCATGAGATTGTCCAAGAGCAGAACTCAGGACAGATTCCTGATATTACCTTCTCATCCTATTTTGAGTCTCCAAGAGAGATATTGCACGATATATCTAGGATACCTCTTTATATCCACATGTTATCAGCAATATGATGACTTGCATGTAGTGCTGTATTTCACTTATTCTTCGTACACTCCTCAAAAATCTCAGATATCTTATCCAGACTGGACTACGCTGGTATTTCTTTCCAGATTGGCAGCTCTTGTGTACCTCCAGTTTATTATTCTTTATATTACCCACAGTATGATCTTCTGAGATCTGCATATTTGCTTGTCATATTCATCGGATGTTCAGGAGTTTTTACAGTGACAATGATTCCCAAGTTCAACACTCCTAACTACAGATCTTTCAGAGCAATTTTGTTTGTACTGCTAGGATTGGCTTCTGCTTTTCCAATGGCTCAATTCATTTTCTTCAGAGATCCATTGACTATGCCAGCATTCCCAACAAACTACTGGGGTCTTGGAGGTGACACGTATATTTTTGGCACTTACGTATATGCGATTAGATTCCCAGAAAGATGGTACCCTGGTAAGTTTGACATGTGTGGACACTCCCATAATCTTTGGCATTGCTTTGTCCTCTTAGCAGCAATCGTTCATTACTATGGTAGCCTAGAGGTGTACCATTTGAGAAGACATTATGAATGCCCAGCTTAAGTTTTACATCATCATTTCAAAAACTCGAGGATCTAGAGGGGTTTTGGGGTTTTGGGGTTTTGGGGG